CAAATATAATTAAAATAAATATATCTCCACCATTTCTTAGCAAATATATTGATAGAAACTTCATCGTTGTAACATTTCGAATTCGAAACTATCTTTAATTGGGAAACCATAAAAAGAAAAACCTCGCAAAAGAAAAGATAAACTTTTTTTAAATTTGTCTTTTTTTCTTTTTTTGTGGATTTTGAATTTTTTGAATTTTTATTACCGCTCTTAAGCTCACTGCTGCGTATGAGTCTCTGATCGTCTGACGGCCACTGATATGCTCGGGAAGGAGGTGTCTTGCTCCAGTGGAGGCCGGCATCCCCCTTTTATTTATAATAACCACTCTTAAAAAGAAACGTCGCTTGGATCTGTCTCTGCGCCCTTGTCTCAAAATTATCTCTGAGTTTTCGAAAGAGAACAAGCTTCAAGAAATTTCAATAAAGAAATGTTGGATTATGCTGGCGTTTCTCCGTGTTCGTTTTGAAATCTCTTCCTTTCTGGAAATGTATGCGTCTCCCCTTGTTTCTTTTTATTACATCACCAATAACGTGCATAATAATATTACGTATTATACTATTGGGAAAGGAAGCCGGTTTTAATTATGATAATAATAGTAATAAGATCAAACGGAAGAAAGAGAGATAGGTTGTCAAAATTGTAATAATATTAAATAAATAAGACTCAATTCAATGGATTAACTACAGTTAAGTTAGAGTATCCACTAATCCAGCAAGAGCTTCTTTCACTCAGTCATTCAAATTTGTATGTTTAAATTTGATTTTTGTAAAAGAGACACTTTAATTACTTTCTTGATTCATATTTTGGTTTATTGTCCCATTATCTTTCTGAGGAAAACCACAACTCCACTGCCTTATACTTACTGCCTCCAATGGTTTATTAATAATTTTTTTCCTGTTATATTCTCTATTTTGGAGAGAAAGTGGCAGAGGTAATTGCTGCTTGACTAAAGTTTCTCAATTCATCTCTGGTTCACGAACATTTTAGTTTGGGTTTTGTTTTGGTTTTGGTTCGACTTGGTCTTGTTTTATTCGTTTGCAACTTTACTTCATGGCCGAACGAACGGGAATTTTTTCTCAGTGTCGTCTCGGGATGATAAATGAATGATATTGTAATTTTTAATTTATGTCTTTTGGATGATTGATTGATTAATCAATCAATCAATCATAGGAAGACTGACCAACCACCAGCATTCTCTGAGGTTTTATTTTATTATTCCTCTCTCTCTACTTACTTTTCTCTAATGCAGCTAGTTAGTTAATATTTTAGAAATTGAAAGAAAAAACGTAATAGGTTCCACTCTATCGATTATAACTATAATTGACAAAATTATTTCATGAAATTCATATATATATCGTTGTAATAAATTATAAATTATCATTTATCTTATTTTCAACTTTAAGTTGGATCTTCTTTCTAATTAATTTGTAAATTTCTTTTGCATTGTTTGATAATATAACCACCACTACTTTAGTGCATTATAAATTTATATACTTCTACCATGGGTGTCCAAGCTGTTTTAAAGAGAAAAACCGGTGTCATTGTCGGTGACGATGTAAGAGCTTTGTTTGATTATGCTAGAGAACATAAGTTCGCCATTCCAGCTATTAACGTTACATCTTCTTCCACTGTCGTTGCTGCTTTAGAAGCCGCTAGAGATAGCAATTCTCCAATCATATTGCAAACCTCTAACGGTGGTGCTGCTTACTTCGCCGGTAAAGGTGTTTCTAATGAAGGTCAAAATGCTTCTATCAGAGGTTCTATTGCTGCTGCTCACTATATTAGATCTATTGCTCCAGCTTACGGTATCCCAGTTGTCTTACACTCTGATCACTGTGCCAAGAAATTATTGCCATGGTTCGATGGTATGTTGGAAGCTGATGAAGCTTACTTCAAGGTCCACGGTGAACCATTGTTCTCCTCTCATATGTTAGATTTATCTGAAGAATCTGATGATGAAAACATCAGCACTTGTGTTAAATACTTCGAAAGAATGTCCAAGATGAACCAATGGTTAGAAATGGAAATCGGTATCACTGGTGGTGAAGAAGATGGTGTCAACAACGAACACGTTTCTAAGGAAGATTTATACACTTCTCCAGAAACTGTTTACGCTGTTTACAAGGCATTATCTCCAATTTCTCCAAACTTCTCTATTGCTGCTGCCTTTGGTAACGTTCATGGTGTTTACAAGCCAGGTAACGTTGTCTTGTCCCCAGAAATCTTGGGTGACCATCAAAAATATGCTGCTGAAAAGATTGGTAAGCCAGGTAAGCCATTATACTTGGTCTTCCACGGTGGTTCTGGTTCCACTCAAGAAGAATTCAACACTGGTATCAACAATGGTGTTGTTAAGGTCAATTTAGATACTGACTGTCAATACGCCTACTTGACTGGTATTAGAGATTACGTCTTGAACAAGAAGGATTACATCTCAACCATGGTTGGTAACCCAGAAGGTGCTGACAAGCCAAACAAGAAGTACTTCGATCCAAGAGTGTGGGTTAGAGAAGGTGAAAAGACCATGTCTAAGAGAATTACTGAAGCTTTGGTTATCTTCCACACCAAAGATACTTTGTAAGTTAATTAATATTTGTTGAGTTGACTTTTTACAATGATTAAATAACTTAAAAAATATAATGAGAATGTATAATTCATATAGTTTATATATTTTTTTTAATGGTATGTTCAATGTTCAATGACTGAGAAGTCCCTTAAGAGTTATTTTTCGAAGTATAAATACTTCTTAATAACTATATTGTTTCATATAATACCCTGAATTTTTAAACAGCATTTATAAGGTCTTGGATATGATTCGGTGTCTAGCACTAAACCAAAGATAGATATTGAAGTTCTTGTTGGAAGCTTGATCTCATTTTTTCTATTGAGACAAATACAAGTGAAGATATTACTTCTATGCGTCATTAAAAAAAACTTTAAATATATGAGAGACGACGTGAAGTTAAATTTACATCCCCAGGTGATACAAGATTACTAACAATCAGTTCATATGTATATATATTTTCTAGAACTATTAGCATTTTGCTTCATTTTCCACAAGCTTCTTGTATTACCTTTTAGATATTAAGTAAAGTATATGATGAACAGATATGGTATTTTATTATTATTATTACTGTATTTTGTATCTATTGATATCAATTTCGTGGAAGGGAAGTCGTCAAGTTGGCATAGTTTAGGAAAGTGTGAGTAGCTATGATTCATTAGTTAAGTAATCACATTTCCTATTTGGGTTGTTGTTCACGTGATTTATATCTTTGATAAATACATGTTTTTTTTTCTTTTACCCAATTAGGTAATATGAGATTTATATATTTACCAGAAACATGAAAAAATATTTAATCGAAAGTTTACATCATTAAATTAAGAGTGTGTCAAGTCAGAGATATAAGATTAAAAGAGGATCAAATCTAATAGCAACTCTTTACATAAAGGATAATACTACAGCTGCATTGTTAGATATGTCATCACCGTTTAGAAGGAATTCTTATAGTAATGAGAGACCAACAGGTTCTTCTCAACCACCTTCATCGATCGGCGGTGGATTTGGTAGTAGCAGCGCTTTAGAACAAGATTCTCAACTCGATGTTAGACCTCAGTTTCCTAGTTCTTCCCTACCTGTTGGTAATGTTGGTTCTACGCAAGATGATTCAACACAGTTCAGTTCACAACGTCAATATAATGCTGAGGCCTTACCTCAAGATGATTTACCAATGCAAGGTATGAGAAGGCGTAATATTAATCATATTAAAAAGGTTGATGATGTTACTGGTGAAAAAGTACGTGAAGCTTTTGAACAATTTTTAGAAAATTATACTAATCCTACGGAAACAGGTGAGTTAGATCGTGTTTACAGAACTCAAATTGAATTCATGAAAGTTTACAATTTGAGCACGATTTATATTGATTATCAACATTTATCCCAAAGAGAGAATGGTGCTTTAGCCATGGCTATTTCAGAGCAATATTACAGATTTTTACCATTTCTACAAAAAGGTTTAAAAAGAGTTATTAGGAAATACGCTCCTGAATTACTTTTAACTAACGATACATTCACTAATAATGAAAATAAGGAGAGAGATTCCGGCAATCCTGATACGCAAAATTCTACAGATGCTAATACTATTGATAATGCTAGTTCAAGAATGGCAACAGGTTCAGTTACCAGTGGTTCCCCAGAGCAAACTGAGCGTGTCTTCCAAATTAGTTTCTTTAATTTACCGGTTGTCCATAGAATTCGTGATATTAGATCAGATAAGATTGGATCATTATTAAGTATATCAGGTACAGTTACTAGAACTTCGGAAGTTCGTCCTGAATTGTATAAAGCAAGCTTTACATGTGATATATGTCGTGCAATTGTCGATAATGTTGAACAGGCATTTAAGTACACTGAGCCAACTTTTTGTCCAAACCCATCTTGTGAAAACAGATCTCTGTGGACTTTAAATTTAGCCCGTTCCAAATTCTTAGATTGGCAAAAAGTAAGAGTTCAAGAAAATTCTAATGAAATACCTACAGGTTCTATGCCACGTACTTTGGATATCATTCTAAGAGGTGATTGTGTTGAAAGAGCAAAGCCTGGTGATAGATGTAGATTTACAGGTACAGAAATAGTTGTTCCAGATGTTACTCAATTGGGTTTGCCTGGTGTTAAAGCCAGCTCATCTCTAGATTCTAGAGGTATTACAAGAAGCTCGGAAGGTTTAAATAATGGTGTCACTGGTATTCGTTCCTTGGGTGTTCGTGACTTGACATATAAAATCAGTTTCTTGGCATGTCATGTGGTGAGTGTAAGTTCAAACACAAACAATCAAGATTCTGAAGGTACGAAAGAAACAGAACAACAATTAATTTCCAATTTGCATTCGAATAATGTTTATCAAGATTTGGAAAAGGATCAAGAAGTCTTTTTAAATAGTTTGAATTCTCACGAAATTAATGAATTGAAAGATATGGTTAAGGATGAGCATATTTACAGTAAATTAGTTAAATCTATTTCTCCTGCAGTGTTTGGACACGAATCAGTTAAAAAGGGTATCTTACTGCAAATGTTGGGTGGCGTTCATAAAACTACAGTTGAAGGTATAAAACTAAGAGGTGATATAAACATCTGTATTGTTGGTGACCCATCTACTTCTAAGTCTCAATTTTTGAAATATGTTACTGGGTTTGCTCCAAGAGCAGTTTATACATCAGGTAAAGCATCATCTGCAGCAGGTTTGACAGCTGCTGTTGTTAGAGATGAAGAAGCCGGTGATTATACCATAGAAGCTGGTGCATTAATGTTGGCAGACAATGGTGTCTGTTGTATTGATGAATTCGATAAAATGGATATTTCTGATCAAGTTGCTATTCACGAAGCAATGGAACAGCAAACAATATCTATTGCCAAAGCAGGTATTCATGCTACTTTAAATGCAAGGACTTCGATTTTAGCCGCTGCCAATCCAATAGGTGGTAGATATAATAGAAAATTATCATTAAGAGGTAATCTAAATATGACTGCTCCTATCATGTCCAGATTTGATTTGTTTTTCGTGGTATTAGATGACTGTAATGAACATATTGATACAGAACTGGCATCTCATATTGTTGACCTTCATATGAAGAGAGATATGGCAATTGACCCACCATACAGTGCAGAACAATTACGTAGATACATCAAATATGCTCGTACTTTTAAACCAATTTTAACAAAGGAAGCTCGTGAATTCTTAGTCAAGAAGTATAAAGAATTGAGAAACGATGATGCACAAGGTTATAGTAGATCCAGTTATAGAATAACAGTTAGACAATTGGAAAGTATGATAAGACTGTCGGAAGCCATTGCAAGAGCCAATTGTGTTGATGAAATTACTCCAGATTTCGTTGCAGAAGCTTATGATTTATTAAGACAAAGTATTATTCGTGTTGATGTTGATGACGTTGAAATTGATGATGAGGAAGACAATGATGGAGATGATAATAATAACAATCCAACAAATGGTGAAAATAATGAAAATAATGAAATGAGTTCCGGTGCGCCAGAAACAGCTCCAACAGGTCCTCATGGCGGTATTCCAGAAGCGTCTCAAACCGAAACTGCGCCAAAACACAAAGCTACTGTGACATACGACAAGTATGTCTCAATGATGAATTTACTTGTTCGGAAAATTGCTGAAGTTGAAAGAACAGAAGGGAATGAGTTGACAGCAACTGACATTGTTGATTGGTATTTGATACAAAAACAAGATGAATTTTCAAGCGAATCAGAATATTGGCAAGAAAGGAAACTTGCCTTTAAGGTATTGAAGAGATTAGTTAAGGATCGTATCCTAATGGCGATTCATGGTACTCGTGAAAACCTTGATTACGTTATGGAGGGAGATGATGGAAATGAACAGTTACGTACATCTCCGGATGATATAGTGTATGTTATTCACCCAAATTGTGAAATATTAGATTCATTGGATCAACAAGAATCTGGAGGTAATGCAGATGAGAGAATCCAATAGGTTTAGGATTTGATCCGATTACCCTTTTTTGAGGAGAAAGAAGATTAAATAAGTGTGAAGCATCGTTCAAAGGATGATTTGACTTCTCCATAGCGGTATTGAGGGGAGGGGCCATATTTGAAAGAATTCCTTCGGTTACGAAGAAATGTCGCCACACAATAAAGCTAATTAGGCAGTTTATGAGGGTTATATCGATTATCAAACATTCTAAATTCAAAACAGAGAGTTTGTTATTCCAGTATGTAATGTTTTATTATTTATGACAGTCGAAGCCATTTAGTCTTTAATTACAGTGTAACTTATAGTAATTTAATAGTAAACAAAAACAAAAACAAAATTAATAAAACTAGTGTGAAGTGTAGTATATATCAGCATTTGGTTAATATTTCCTAAAGTGAACATATGCATATTACCAAAGGTTTAAAACCTCAATTGACTTGGAGGGAAAGAGGGGTACGCATAGAGATTTGATTACAAGATCTTTCTAATATCCATATATAGATCGTTTGAACAATTGATTGACTTGAGCTAAGTCAAACGACAAGTTATAGTATAATCCCTGTAAGGCTCTTGCTCAAACATGTTTTTTGGGTTCGAACAAAACAAAAAACAATTTAACACATTGGTACTACGCTTCTCTAAGGTATATCATTAGATATGCATTTACGACCGTTGGAAGGGAAGACCATAGAGGAAGTAATTAACCTTGAAACCTTACAATACAATTATTATAAAGGTAGATGGAGCATCACCTGGGCACTCAATCATCGTAAAGCCCATGGGATGCCCTTATGCTCCATCACCCACGGAAATCCTCTAACCACCGCAAGAGCTAAGCAATATTTTTTTTTACCATCACTTTAAGAGACAGGGAGGGAGATCTCTTGAATACAGAGAGAGAGAAAGAGAAAAAGAGTAAACCCAACCAAGACTTGACTGATAAAACCACGTAAATAGTCAAAATATAGAAGGTTATTGTATGCTTACCATAACCCTATTTTCTAGTACGACTAATGTTGCAACAAAAAAAAGGTTGCGTATTCTGTTATAATCAAGCTACAGTTGCGTTTGCTGATTACTGTTTGAATCACCCTATTAAACACACTTCGTTCTTTGCCTGTGTCGCCCCTTCTGGTTCGCTAGCCAGTGGGACAGTTCCCCAGAAGGGGGTCTCTGGAACCGGCCAGCGATACAGACAGACAGACAGACAGAGCCGAATCTTTTCCCAGCCTGGTTTCTCTCTCTGTCTATTCTCGTCAAAGGGGGTAGGCTGTTTGATACCACCAGGCTCTTGTGGGGAGCGAGCGGAGGGGAGGGGGGGGGGTTGATGGGATAGACAGAGAAGTTTAAGGGAAGGCGAGAAGTGGTTATTTGGTTGGTGGGAAAGTAAACGGTAACGAGTTTATTTGGGTTAATTTTGATATATTGCCTGCTTGTACATATATTTTTGATAATCTTATACAGTTAAAATAGTTCGAAATCGAATTTAGATTATTATTAAGAGTTATTTGATTAATTTTAGTTTCGAGAATTGGATTACGATGAGGATAATGATTGGTCTTTTTTGGAGGTTTTATTGAATAAATTACGTTGTTTATAGGAGGAGTTTTTATTTTTAATAGACTTGTATTTCTTTGTGTGGAATTTCTGTAAAAGAAATTTGAGTTATGTGTTAGAGGCATTATGGAGTGCGGTTTTTCCTTTTTTCACCTGATATTTTTTTAGTTAATATTAGTTTTTTAATCCTCAATTCTCTTCAATTGTATTTGCTGTCTTGAGGATTCGTAACCACCAACCACTATCTGCTCCCTTCTTTAGTGGTATTTCTCCCTCTCATTCAACAATCCTATCCCCACTACCCACCCGCCCCTTGTATTCACTTAATCTGAGATGTATCAATCAAATCAATGCAGCACGTTCTCTATCAGAATTATTATCAAAGTAATAGATATATAAATGTTAAAAGAAGAATGTAATTTATTATAGTATAATTTCGATTTCGAATAATTTGTTATGTTTCTTTTTATTTTTAATCTGGTTTAATCTGTTTTATAATTGGCATCTAAGGGCACCAACGCATTAGTTGTTACATTTGAGTCGAGTGTATATATATAAATATCTTAAAGAGAAAACTTTAAATTTATTTATATTGGTAATATCTTGATATCATTGGTTACAACAGGTTTAGATTACGAAACAAATTATATACCCAGAACTACAATTCACAATGTCACATTCATTGAGCACCAGTACCACTAACGATATGATCACCGAGGAACCATCTTCTCCTAACAAGATTCCACGCTTAACAAGGAGATTGACTGGTTTCTTACCACAAGAAATCAAGGCAATTGATACAATGATCCCATTGCAATCAAGAGCCTTATGGAATAAACACAAGGTTCAAAAGTTTGAAGATGCTGAAGGATTTGATGACAGATTTATTCATCATGTTGAAACTACTTTGGCTCGTTCCTTATATAACTGTGATGATTTAGCTGCTTATGAATCTACTTCTATCAGTGTTCGTGACAACTTGGTCATCGATTGGAATAAGACTCAACAAAGATTGACTGCCAGAGATCCAAAGAGAGTTTATTACTTATCCTTGGAATTCTTGATGGGTAGAGCTTTAGACAATGCTTTAATTAACATGGGTTCCGAACCAAAGCCAAACTCTAACGGTGATGAATTGTTAGGCACCAGAGATATGGTTAAGGATTCCTTGAATGACTTGGGTTTCAGATTGGAAGATGTCTTGGCTCAAGAACCAGATGCCGCTTTAGGTAATGGTGGTTTAGGTCGTCTAGCCGCCTGTTTCATCGATTCTATGACTACTGAAAACATCCCAGCATGGGGTTACGGTTTACGTTATGAATATGGTATCTTTGCCCAAAAGATTATTGATGGTTATCAAATTGAAACTCCTGATTACTGGTTAAATATTGGTAACAGATGGGAAATTGAACGTCATGAAATCCAAATCCCAGTCACATTCTACGGTTACGTTGATAGACCAGATGGTGACACACCAACTACTGATCCAGCCCAATGGATTGGTGGTGAAAGAGTTCTTGCTGTTGCTTATGATTTCCCAGTTCCAGGTTATAAGACTACTACTGTCAATAACTTAAGATTATGGAAGGCTAAACCAACAACCGAGTTCGATTTTGCTAAATTCAACACTGGTGACTACAAAAACTCTGTCGACCAACAACAAAGAGCCGAATCTATCACTGCTTGTTTGTATCCAAATGATAACTTTGCTGAAGGTAAAGAATTGAGATTGAAGCAACAATACTTCTGGTGTGCTGCTTCTTTACATGATATCATTAGAAGATTCAAGAAGACTCAAAGACCATGGAGTGAATTCCCAGATCAAGTCGCTATTCAATTGAACGATACTCATCCAACCTTAGCTGTTGTTGAATTACAAAGAGTTTTGGTTGATTTGGAAAAATTACCATGGGCCGAAGCCTGGGATATTGTTAACAAGACCTTTGCTTACACTAACCATACTGTCATGCAAGAAGCTTTGGAAAAATGGCCAGTTAGTTTGTTCAGCCGTCTATTACCAAGACATTTGGAAATCATTTATGACATTAACTGGTTCTTCTTGCAAGAAGTTGAAAAGAAGTTCCCAGATAACAGTGAATTGTTATCTCGTATCTCTATTATTGAAGAAGTTTACCCTGAAAGATTGATCCGTATGGCTTTCTTGGCTATTGTTGGTTCTCATAAGGTCAATGGTGTTGCTGAATTACACTCTGAATTGATTAAGACTACTATCTTCTCTGACTTCGTTAAATTCTACGGTCCATCCAAGTTTACTAATGTCACTAACGGTATTACACCAAGAAGATGGTTGAAGCAAGCTAACCCAGAATTAAGTAAATTGATCAGTGAAGCTATTAATGATCCAAAGGATGATTTCTTATTGGATATGACCAAGTTGACTAAATTAGCAGAATTTGCCGATGACCACGGTTTCCAACAAAGATGGAATAAAGTTAAGGAAGATAATAAGATTAAATTAGCTGACTTGATCAAAAACCTAAACAACGGTGAAGATATTATTGACAGGGAACACATCAACAACACTTTGTTCGATATCCAAGTCAAACGTATTCACGAATACAAACGTCAACAAATGAACATCTTCGGTGTTATTTACCGTTACTTAGCAATCAAGAACTTGTTAGAACAAGGTGCCTCTATCGAAGAAGTTGAAAAGAAATTCCCACGTAAGGTTTCTATCTTTGGTGGTAAGAGTGCCCCAGGTTACTATATGGCTAAGTTGATTATTAAATTAATTAACTCTGTCGCTGACGTTGTTAATTCTGATGTTGCAATTGCTGATTTGATTAAGGTTGTCTTTATTCCAGATTACAATGTCTCTAAAGCTGAAATCATTATTCCAGCAAGTGATTTAAGTGAACATATTTCTACTGCTGGTACTGAAGCTTCCGGTACTTCCAATATGAAGTTTGTTATGAATGGTGGTTTAATCATCGGTACTGTTGATGGTGCCAATGTTGAAATTACAAGAGAAATTGGTGAAGATAACATTTTCTTATTCGGTAATTTGAGTGAAAAGGTTGAAGAATTAAGATACAACCACAAGTACCGTAAGAGTGAAATGCCATCTGAATTGAAGATGGTTTTGAATGCTATTGAAAGTGGTTTATTCTCTCCAGAAAATCCAAATGAATTTAAACCACTATGGGATAGTATTAAGCACCACGGTGACTACTATTTGGTCAGTGATGATTTTGCTTCCTACTTAGCTACTCAAGAATTGGTCGACCAAGTCTTCCATTATGAAAAGAGTGAATGGATCAAGAAATGTATCTTGTCTGTTGCTAATGTCGGTTTCTTCAGCAGTGACCGTTGTATTGAAGAATATGCTGAAACCATCTGGAATGTCGAACCAGTTAAGCCAGAATAATTATGATTATTTATCTGGTGTTTCTTCTAATGCCTTTTATTTACTCTTTATGATTTGATTATTTACTTTATGTAATTTATTCGTTTGATAAATATATATTATTTTTTTATTTTCCCTTATCGTTAGAGACAATATAGTCATTTGCAGAAAGTGGAGTAATAAGTAAGACTTTGACAATTTAATATAACATGAAAGTAAATGAGTTTATGATTACATCAGTACCATTTTTTAAACATCTATATAGTTCAAAAATAGTGTTATAAAAATTAAACATAAGTAATGTTTTAATTCTAATCTTATAATTGTATTATATTCATTTTCTAATTTCTTGTGGGAACTTACTTGAGAAAAAAACTTAATAGTATGCTAAACATGGATATTAAAATGGTATACTGATGATAATAATTACTAACCTGGTAATTTAATTAATTACATATTTACTTAGCAATTTGGAATTCTTCATGCAATGCGTCACCTAATCTTTTCAAACCTTCTCTTAACTTTTCTGGAGAAACAGCAGCATAAGTACCTCTGAAGAAAATTTCATTGGCGTTACCACCTTGTTTAGATTCTTTTGGTTGTGGTGGATTTGTTTCACCTTCAGTTCTGAACCAAGCACCTGGGACCACTAAGACACCGCTTCTTACAACTTTATCGTAAATGTACTGTTCGACCATGGCAGGATTAGATTGGAATTTAGTTTCAAATTCAGGATGGATACTGGCATCGATATTGATGGTGAAGAACATACCAGCAATTGGTGGGTTAATTTTGAAGGCTTCGTGTTTAGGAGCGTATTCATACAAAGCGTCAATAGCGTTATCACGCTTTAAAGTGTATTCATGACGTAGACCGATTAACCAATCAATATAACCATCTTGACCCCAACGTTGTAATAAACCATTAACCAAGGATTGTGTGAAACCTGAAGCGGCTTGGACAGTCATTTCATGTAAACTAATGTATGGTTGTAGAAGTTTCTTAGAACCAGTTAACCAACCTAATCTTGAACCTGGAGCCAAAACTTTTGAGAAAGAATCCATTCTAATGACACGACCTTCAGTATCGACAGATAAGAAAGTTTTAGCCAAAGAACCCAAAAATTGGTCATGGGTTGGTTTTGGAACATCTTGAACTTTCTTTCTTTCATCCAAATCAGCAATGTATTCACCCATTTGTAAGAAGTAGTATGGTTCATCTTCAATGATTAAGAAATCGTGTTTACAAGCAATTCTGTAAATTTCAACTTTTCTTTCATCAGCTAAAGAGGTACCAGTTGGGTTTTGACCAGTTGGGATAGTATATAACAATTTTGGCTTTGGAGCACCTGGAGTCCAGTTATCTAATATTTCTTCTAATTTTTCAGGAATGATACCGTGTTCATCAATTGGGATAGGGAAAGTAGTAATACCTTGGGCTTCAGCGGATGCTAATGAAGAAGAGAAAGAATGAGCTTCAGCCAAGATAACATCACCTTTGTTACAGAAAACTCTTAAAGTGGATTCCCAACCATTAGTGTTACCAGTAGTTAAGATAATATCCCAATCAGAATAATTCATTTTATGAATTAAACCAGTATGTTCCTTTAAGAAATTCAATAAATCTGGGTGACCTTGAGTGAAACCATATTGTAAAGACTTTGAAAAAGGAATGTCGAAATCTTCAGCTTTTGAATCTCTTTCAACAGTATAAGTCAAAGTATCAGTTTCACTATCAGATAACTTTGCACCGATACCTTTATTAAATGGTGGTAAAGGGGACTTTGAAGTAACTTGAGTCCATGGGAAATAATCACTCAATGGTAAACCACCACCTAAGAAGATGATATTAGGATCGTTGAATAAATGAATACAAGTCTTTAAAGGAGATGGTTTACGGGCATTAGTTTCATCAGAAAATAAGTAAGAAAAATCTTTAGATTCTGGTAAAGTCATGGCGTTCTTTGAGATAATGTTTGTCTTGGGATTTGGCTTATGCACTAAGTTCTCAATTAAATCACAGATAAAATATTTTTGATTTAAAAAAATTCAATTGTAAATATATAAATTACACTCACTCTCTTATTATATTAAAAGTTCCAAAGTTTAGACAAAATAAATATTACTACAATTCTTAAATATTTTAAAATGTGTGACTAATATATTTGTTTGATGCAACCTGAAGTGGATGAACTACAATACTCCTAGAATAAAAATAATTAATTGCTGCAGATATGCACCAAACAAGAGAAATCAAAAAGAAATCAAAAAGAAATTAAGATAAATTAAAAGAAAAGTTACAGAAAGGATGCAAAGGCATGGATGACTGAAATATGTTCGGCAAATGAATCTGTAAAGTTAACTTTATTTGAATATTTATATGATTTGAAATCGGATATCAAAATTTCGTCAAATTCGATGTTGTGTCCATAGTTATCCGTTGATATCCACGATCAACCGAAAGCCTTACATAAATGTATAACCAAGATGACAAAATTGTACTGATTCAAAGATTATAACTATAACTAATTACTAAATTGGTAATAATTTCCTTGTAAACGGTGAAAGTAATGATGATGATGATGATTATAATGGAGTATATATGACTGGAATAATCAAGAATTTCAAGTTTTGGTTGAGGTTCTTTTGCGAAATTTAATTGGGGTAGTCAAAATTGAATCGTTTCAAGGATGAATGAATGAATGAATGTATGACTTGTCTATCTATATCAATTGTAGAACAAATTACTAGGTTTGATGTAGACTTGGATTTAATTACAGAGTTTTAAAATTGTTTGTTAACTAGTTATGTTTTTTCTTGCGTTCATCCAAATTGAATCATTCCTCTTACATCAGATGGAAATTTTATTGTATATGGTAAATAATATTTTAGTTTACTCGGATATTTTCCTTGTAATATCCTTGAGATTGATAAATTCAATTGGATTGTGTAGTATTTAATCGTAATGAGGTACTGGGGGCTATATCTACTAGGTTTTTATTCTCTTTGGATATATACCAATAGCAAAATATTACTTTTAAAAACAGATTGAAAAAAAAAAATTATAACTCTAATGAGTTGAGAAGATGGAGGAGCACATTCACCCAGGCTCTTTTTTGCTAAGTTATTACATACCTTTATTTTTCTATCAAGTCTCTTTAAAGCACAAGGTTGATTCAAATTGCTTCTCATCAGAGAGAGCATTTTGAGTCATTTTTGAAGGAAGATGCCTGTTCAATGGTAAACATCCAATAAAGACTTAAAATTGATGCTCTTTCGTGTTATCTAATTTCTCTGTATGATATTATAAATACTAATGATGGTATTACATGGTAAAATAATTGTGATATTAGTCTGTTACTATAATTGACAAAGAAATAATAAACGACGTAAATTACTTGTAGAGAATTATGTTGTGGTTTTTCTACCGAATCGTTCATAGTAATAGATTCTTTATTTATTTCCAAGGACATTCTTAATAAGTTGATATTGATCCGGTGTATTAAAGTATATAATATACACATGGGAATATAATTAACATGACAAGTGTCAATTAAGATCTTGTCATTTCTTATATAAAGTGTTGGAAAAGTTTTAACGTCAGAAATAACACTTTCGTGTAAAGTAACATTTCTTTATCCTATATGAATAATGTCGTAATACGTATATATCACGTGTTACCTCATAATTGTATTATTTGGCCTTTAATTATTATTTAATTGTATATTGAATTTGGTATACGTTAGAATGAAGGCTGGTAAGCGTTTATTCTATAGGATCTTAAGGGTGGAGATCTGTAAGTTAAAGTAAATATACTTGTTAATAATAATAAATTTCTATATTCTTTTATGTACAAAGTAAGATACTAAATAATATACAATAATATACAATGATCTCTTTAAATATCAATGTTAATAGCATGTAACAACATTCTTGTAGTGACACATATTTCTTCACCTTCAAGGTTCGTATGAAGTAACCTCGAAGTAGTCTCGAAATAATACAAATATCGGCGGCTTCGAAAGGTAGCTTTTCCTAGGTTCTTTTCGATATAAATTCATCTATATCTCCTAAGGTGTTTATAAAGTACTTTCTTTCCTTGTCACCGTATACTCTTGTGTATTCAGCAGCAGTTCGGATGGGTGAACCATAATAGCTATAAGCAGGTTTCAGTTTCGATCCATCATATGTTGCTTCTCGTACACTACCGTCCCAATTCCGAAGTTTATAAGTGTTCTTCCCTAGGACTTCGTGGATATAATACGGTCCATCCCATGTGGGTTCAAACTTATTTCGTTTGGGTCGATATCGATAAACTACTTCTCCTCTAGTATAAGGGACGTACTTATCGGTGTCTTTCCTAGCATTTCGCAACAGTTCACGAACTTTAACACGTTCATCCATTGTTTTGAACGAATTGTTCTAGTGTTCCTATGTCGCATC